GTAAGACGATAAACTACGTCCAACAGCAATACCTCTGATCAGGAGGTTTTGAGGAGCGTGGAACCACCTCTTAATTGTTGGTGTTCCCAGGTCCACCCTGACCCGGGGTGGTAGCGTCTGTTAGGGTCCCATCTATGGCTAAATAGTTAACCCCCAAAATAGGTTAAAAACACTATGGAAGTGTAAAAATATGTTTTACTACCAGAAATACTTTCTAAATATATTATCAGCAATAAATCTTTGAAGAAATATTACTAGCAGCTATCTATTTTTGAAAAAAAAATATTACCAGTAATCCATTTAAAAAAAAATATTACCAGCAATACAAATCTTGTCGGCATTAAATAACCCATTGAGGTTGATATGCCGTAAAAGAAAGAAAACAAAACCAATAGATGCTGAGATAGATAGATAGATAGATAGATAGATAGATAGATAGATAGATAAAAAATATTACCAGTAATCCATTTAAAAAAAAAATATTACCAGCAATGCAAATCTTGTCGACATTAAATAACCCATTGAGGTTGATATGCCGTAAAAGAAAGCAAGCTAAACCAATAGATAGATAGATAGATAGATAGATAGATAGATAGATAGATAGATAAAAATATTACCAGCAGTAAAAATCTTGATGGCATTAAATAACCAATTGAGGTTGATATACCGTAAAACAAACCACACAGAACTGAAACTGAACTTACATTTTCGCTAGTATTTTTACTATTTTTATATTTTCATAATGTTTTGACCTCACTTTGGATATCAACTATTTGCCCATAGCTGGGAACCTAACAGTTGCTACCACTCCGTGTCAGGGTGGACCTGCGAACAGTAGCAATTAAGAATTGTTTCCAAGCTCTTCAAAGCCTACCCTTCAGGGGCTATGCTGCCGGTTGTAGTTAATCGTCATGCCCAGAACAATGAAATGAGTCGATAAAAATAATAGATAGTCAACCATATAAATAACTAATGAAAGTGTGGAATGATATTTAAAAAAAAAGAAAAAAAGGAAAAGAAAGAAAAAAAGAAAGTAAGAAAAATATATAGGAAAAAAAACAACAAAAATTCGGGATAAAAAAGAACAGGCATAAAGACTTGATGTATCTTGATATGTCAATGTTTATTTTCGTAGTTGACCCATCCCTATAATTTGAGAAAGCAAAAATCACCAATAATTCCAACGTATAAACACGCAATGTTATAAACAAAGACGAGTCAAAAATAACTCAGAATAGAAATTTATTTCTTTCTTAAACTTTTCAGGAAATCGAAACTGAAAGAATAAAAAAATATAATAAAAATAAAAATAAAAGCAAGAAGAAACTTTATAGTAGAAAGCCAAATATATCGACTGGTCAATAAATCAATGAAGGCGCCAGTTTCTTTTTTCTTTTTCTTTTTTTTTTTTGTACAGATCTGCGGGCAGATGTGAGGGCGGTTACATTTGAGGCTCCGACTTTATGACTCAATGATCTGTGAATGCATCTTAACTAATGTTCATAAAAAACAAACTATCATGCAAGTACATGGCGTGTAGGGTCGAAGTGCGAGTTTAATCTAATTAAATATTCAAATAGGTGAGACAGAGTGATCTTATTATTATTGTTGTTTAATCATTTCACCTTAAGCAAAGCAACAAAGCCACTGACGAATGGGGGATTATGAGAGAATACGAGAAAACACTATTAAATAGCCGTCCTGGGTATGACGATAAACTACATCCGCGTCCTGGGTAAGACGATAAACTACATCCAACAACAAAGCCTCTGATCAGGAGGCTTTGAGGAGCGTGCAACAACCTCTTAATTGCTGGTGTTCCCAGGTCTACTCTGACCCGGGTTGGTCACACCTGTTAATGCCCCAACTATAGGCAAATAATTAACGCCCAAACTGGGTTTAAAACCCTTCAATACAGTTTTTTACGAAAAATTATTACCAGCAATACATTTTTGTAAATAATTATTACCAGCAAAACATTTTTGAAGAAAAAAAATTAATACCAGCTATACATTTAAAAAAAAAAATATTACCAACAATAAAAACCTTTTTGGCATTAAATAATCCATTGTTGTGGATATGCTGTGAAACAAAACAAACCAAACTACTAAATAGTGAGAACAAGGATTAAGAAAACAGAAGATAACGATTGATATTGCATTTAATATTTTAGAGATCAATGTTGATTTGAAAAGCAAGAAGCCGGAATTGAATTCTAAGGCTGGGGCGTTACCTCAGTAATCTAGCAACCATGTCAGCATGAATGTCCTTGGGGCCTAAATCCTTTTTCTGTAGATATTTGATAATACCACGATGCTAAATTTTGTCCATTTAGAAAGGGAAGTCACTACTAATTATATCTATAATAGTCAATAATAAATATCCTCCTACCCCAATATAAAGCATGCTTAAGAGAAATATAAAGCATTCTTAACAGAAATATGAAATTAACCCCTCCCTATATTCTTCCTTGTCTCGTTAACTACAACTGTCACCCTCCCTGTTAAATTACAAAAATTACACTACCCATCAGTTTCTAATCCCATTTTTCCTTTCATGTCGTTGTTGGAATTTACCTGATGCTCTGTAGTCCTTTAAAAAGGATTTTGGTGAAATAAATTATTGTAATGGTACCTTAAAGTGGTCTGTTTTTCATTATATATATATATATATATATATATATATATATATATATATATATATATATATATTTCATTTATATGGATAATAGTTTATTTATATATATTTAATATATTTTATTGTTATACGTTATTTTTATAGATTGATATTTATGTAAATGCTATGTTTACAGTGAACAGTGGTTAGGGACATCGATTTTTTCTGCTTTTAAACTGCAATCTTCCAAGAAAGTAACAATAAAATATATTAAAATAATTGTCATTCTTTGACCATTTCGTATGTGTGACGTTATTACTTTATGTTAATACAAGGTAACCAAAAATATTCTGTCCGTGTTTTGATTAGTCGTTAAATGAAGTTGAAATATACACGAAATGCGTGTAGCAATTGTTTTCAAATTCAGACAGCCGGAAGTAGGAACATCAGACGTTTTTATAAAAAAAAACACGCGCATCGTGCCCGGCCATCAGTTATAAGCCGGACAGCTGTGAGAAGGATTGAAGTGTCTAGAGATCTCTTTCGGGGCTGTTTGCTTTACGACTTCAAAGTAGGCTTATCAGCAGCTGCATCAAGTCGCCGCATATGTCAAGCGTTTGTGGATAGTGCTGTGGATGAACGTACTGCAAGGCGTTGGTTTCGAACATTCAAGTCGGGAGATTTGTCTCTCCATGATGAACCTCGCAGTGGACGACCACATGTCTTGAATGACGGAGTCCTGAAGGCGGCCATTGAAGAGGACAGTAGTCTAACGTGTAGTGAACTTGCAAGACGGTTCAACCTTTCTGATGAAACAGTTAGACCTCACCTGCACCGCCTAGGTAAGACGTACAAACTGAGCAAGTGGGTTGCGCAAACGCTGTTGGAGGTCCACTAGGGACAACGAGTGGCAGCGTGCGTATCGCTGCTTTCTCGCCACCGTACCGCATCCTTATTCAATCGAGTGCTTACCAGTGATGAAAAGTTGGTTCTGTACGAAACTCCCAAGCGTTCCAGATATTGGTTGTTTCCTCAGGATGCTGTCCCTCACACCGCAAGACCGCCTATGCACCCACGCAAGATTATGCTTTGTGTCTGGTGGACAGGTCGTCAAGTGGTTCATTATGAACTGCTAGCAACGGTCCAAACGGTCACTGGAGACCTATACTCGCAGCAATTGAAACGTGTGCAACAGACATTGCGCCAGAAGGAGCTAGCACTGGTGAATTGCAAAGGTATACTTTTCCTCCATGACAACGCAAGGCCTCATGACGTGCGAGTGGTCAGGGATACCATACAGCAACTTGGATGGGAGACTTTGTGCCATCTACCTTATTCACCTGACCTTGCGCCATCCGATTACCACCTCTTCTACTCCCTGGATAATCATCTTCGTGGGAAATCCTTCACCAATGAAGCAGACTTGCGCAAAGCCCTCACGGACTTCTTTGCGTCACCCGCCTGGTTCTAACGCAAGGGCATGAACAGCTGAGGACTCGTTGGCAGAAGGTGCTGGATGCCGATGGCGATTACTTCGAAGACTAAATATAAGTTACACATACTGTGAAGCGTTTTCTTTTTTTCCTTTAAAAACGGACAGAACTTTTTCGGTTACCTTGTATAAGCTTCGATCAGATATGAACTTTCAAGGGAAATCCTAGAAGATTGTAGTTTAAAAGCAGTAAAATCGACCTTGCTAACCAGACGTTTCTCTGTATGTAAGCTGGTATAGTACGTCAGGCTATATGACGGTTCCGTATAGGATACGTGTTCGATTCCTGTCGGAGGACACATATTTTCTATGAAAATTTCTCGGACGTCAGGCCGGTAATTGTTGTTAATACGTTTTATTATAAACAGAACATTTACTTACATATTTGTGTTTATATCAATAACAATAAAATATATTAAAATATTTATTGGATTTATCCATTTCGCGAAGGCACACACACACACACACACACACACACACACACACACACACTGTCATATGCCCCAGTCGACGAATGGGTTTGTAGGGCGATCATACGCCGACTAGGAGATATATACATTCTCACACCAGTGGAGAGATACAAGCTATCTCTCTCAGATCGTGAGAATGGACAATTGGTAAACAAAAGTATTTTTAAGACCACTGTTTGATTGGGATAATCGAACAGTAATCTTTTCCCAGGTCCGCTTCGCTTTTAACACGAATACTGATCCACAATGCAAGCATGAACTATAAGGCTTAGCGATTTTTGATACAAGAATTTTAATATGTACAAATATACAAATATCAAAATAAAAGAACAGATAAGTATGAGTTAAAACATCCGACGACCAGATCTCAAAATTCGCCTAACTCCAAATGGATTTAACTGAACCCGAACAGACAAAAATATAAGTATGAATTACTACGAATTGAATGCAGAAGCCAACGCACACACAAAATAGGATAGGAGTTACAATTATTGTTTTACATGTGGAAAGGTGTTTGCAAAAACATAATATTCATGGATGTATGTGTATCTTTCTACTACGGGTCCAAAATATGATTACTTATCTTTTATATTCAGTTCTCTTTTTTTATATCAAGGTCCTTTGTTTTCTTTTCTCGACACAAACACAATTTCACACACTGTCCGGCTGTAACAGAGGTATACACTTTCTTCCTCTCTTTGTTTCGCCTTTTTCTTTCCTTCCTTTTCTTCTGTAGACAGCTCGGTTTCCAAACCCGGCTTACTGCAACAGGGATGTACACTTTCTTCCTCTCTTTGGTTTTCTTTCTTTCCTTCTTCTTCTTCTTTACACAATTCAGCTTGTAAGAGAGGTGTATGCTTTCTTCTCTGGTTTTTACTTTTCTTTCTTTACACAATTCAACTTGTAACAGAGATATCTGCTTTCTTCTCTGGTTTCCTTTTTTTCTTTAAACGCAGGCTGAATCCTCAGCGTATAACTTTCTCTGCGTCTTAAATTTGGGATTCTCGAACAGGAATATTTCTTATATTTCTTGTCCGGAGTTGCCTGCGCTGAACTGGATGAGTTCCATCACTATCAAATGCGTCTTATCTTTCCGTTCATAAACTATCAGCGCTTCTGCTTCAGGTCTTGCCTCTTCAACGTCAAGATAGCAACTGATTCTCGAGTGAATCTTTGACTGTCACGTGTCTCAAGTTTTGGCGCGAATTCTAGCTTACATCTGTACTCTGTCTAGCTTCTGTCAAGACATTTGTCGCTACGGGTAATTGGGTCAGTCAACCTTTTGACCTGCCTTCCCAAAATGTCATAAGACCCCCACGTGACCTTCATTCTATTACTAGGCGGAAATTAGCCCTAATATATGCGTATATGCGTGTTTAGACTATCTGCCTTCATCACACGTCACACACACACACACATATACATATATATATATATATATATATATATATATATATATATATATACTACAGTTCAAAATTTTTTGAAGCTACCCCAGAATTAGCATGGAATAAAATTTACAGAACTGTGTAAAAAGAAAAATGAAAAAGAGCTCTGAGGGTCAACGAAAAAAGAATGATATCACTTTGCAATCTTATACTTTCAAAAACTTTTGCAACGAATTTCCAAAATTCGTGCTAAAGTAATGAAGGATATTTTGACAAGAGTAAAATTTAATCATAAAATGCTTTCTTTTTTTTTCCATAAAGTTTCTAATAAAGAATCGTCTCTCACTTTTTTTTAAACATGTATAATAATTGTCTCTTATTTAGGGTACAAAGAACTAATTTTTGGGAGAATATAAAAAATAAACAGGAGTTGCGTCAAAATTTTGAAATTTAGTGTATATATGGCTGTCTGTCTATCTATCTATCTATCTATATATATATAGACATCTATCAGAAATTAGTATAAAAATAAATATATACACAATGGAATTAGTAATAATCAGCTGTTATTGGCAAAATTTTAACGATATGATCAAAATATCTTGAGCGTATCAACCGTTATTAAACATATTGACAGGTGAATTTCGGCTTGTCAGGCTTCATTATACAAAGAAAAAGCACAGGCTCATGTCCTTATTAATCTTGATGCCGCTTCATTTTTAAAAAGAACTATAATTTTGTTGCCTACTCTAGTAGACAGAAGAATTCATCTGCCTCCGCCCTGTTTCGTTCTGTTCGTTTGGTGATTATTTCAATAAAGGAAGCAAATTTATTCACTGTAAGATTAACCTAGTGCTGCTTTATAATCATCTCTAAAAAAATATAAATAAATAATAAATAAATAAATAAAAAACGACTGTTTTCAAACGATTCTCCATCTTGTTTTCACGTTTGTTTTTGTGATGTTTACTGACATTTTGTAATTTGGTTGCTTCTGTGTCTTTAGTCAACGTTCTCTGATATTCAACAACTTGTCATTCTGATTACATTTGCAACACCAGATTCTGTAAATACTTTTCTTGCTCGACAAACCATTTGCCAACTTTCTTATCCTTTTTTTGTTTTTCTCGGCCCGCATTTTTTTTTTAGATTTTCTGCTGACATAAAGTGGAAAGATTATATTGAATCAATCGTTAGGTCTGCTGCTAAGAAATTAGGTTCAACCTGACGTGTTATACACATCTTTCTCTCCAGAACCTTATAAATTTACTAGCCAAGGTACCCGGCGTTGCCCGGGTGTACATTGCTGTGATTTCATAACCGCAACTCCTATATACCTGCACCCGCTGTCTAGAAATATCTACCTGCGTCGTGGCTTGCATGCATCATCCACCATTTTTTTTGTTCTCCTTCCTTCAGTTTATTTCTTCATTCTTGTATAAGTTTCGTTGCTTTCTGTTAGTATCTATCTATCTATCTATCTATCTATCTATCTATCTATCTATCTATCTCCATCGCTCGTTACCTGTTCTGGGTGTGCTTTTTTGATCTTCTGTTTGTTTATTAGATAAAGACCCCAATCTACAATTTACCTCAATGAAATAGTGTGTCTCTACTATTTAAGAAATGTCTCACTTTTCATGTAATTATTTTTACGTGTTTTTCTTTGGAACTATTTTAAAAAAAATACTGAAGTATTTGATTTTAAACGTATACTGTCAAAAAATTTATTTTCGTTGGTTGTAGATCGTTTTATCAGGTTTGAATGTGGACCTGTGGGATATGAACGGGGCGCATCTTGACGCCGTTTGGCTGGTATCCATGGTGGATCCTTGATGTTTGTAAGAAACGGAGGAAATCGTAAGGGTGTTTCGAGGGGAATGTAGGAAACAAACAAAGGATGTTGAGAAAAAACTTTTGCCAAAACGATGGGGAGTACGACAAAGCAGAACATGAATATTTTATATAACACACACACACGCTTGCTCGAAATCTGGGAGCAATTTCTTATATATATATATATATATATATATATATATATATATATAACGTCCTCCACAGACAGACTGTTTCGCTGTTTCACAGCTCATCAGTGTGACTAGACATCCAGTTGCCTCTAGCTAGGATCGAAACCCGACTGAATAGGTGTCAGTCGGAGCTTCTAACCATTAACCCGTCGGTAGCGATGAAGGTGGATTTTAGCGTATTTATTTTTAGAAACACGCCCAGTGACCGACAGTGACTCAATTCGCTTTTGCGAAGAGTCTCGCTATATAGCTATAAATAGTCACTGTTTACCAACCCACGCCTCCTCCCCAGAGAGCTCAAATGAAATTAATTTTTCAGGAGCCAATATAACGTCATCCACAGACAGACTGTTTCGCTGTTTCACAGCTCATCAGTGTGGCTATATATATATATATATATATATATATATATATATTAAAAATTAATTGATTTAAAATATGTTTTTTTCCGCTACACAGTTCTAACCATGTTTCAAAAATGGAAGATAAAAGCTACGAATTTAATTTTGCAATTAAATTAAAGACATTAGTTCCATTTCATCCTCATTTCATCATTCGCTTGGGGATGAAATGGAGCTAATCTCGAAAAGGACCTCCAATCTGTGGTTGACTGGGAGAGTAAATTGCCTGTAAACTTTAATGCCTCCAAAACGAAACTGCTCTCCTTTATCCACCACAGAGATCCCTTCCTGCCTCCCATCAGAATGATTGATTCCCAACTCCCTGATGGTCTGGTGCTCACAGTGTATGTTTCGAGGTCTTGACAAAATCCAGAAACGAATATAATGATAGGTCCTGATCTGGCATCTAATCTACAATCGCTATTCCACAGACATGCTGTGAACTCCCCTCTGTCTCTTCTACAAATATTTTCACGGCAACTGTTCAGAAGAGATACTTTCACTGGTTCCCGGTATACATAAATTAAAACATGCTACCAGAATTGCATCTAGGCTTCACCCTTCACTGTCAAAACGGTGAAATTTAAATACGGATCTTTTTTCTCAAACAGCTTCTTCTCCCACACTTCCCATCTGTGCAGCTCCCTTCCGCTTACTTCCTTCCCCAATGACTATAATCTTCAAATATTCAAGTGTAATGTCAATAGACATCTGACTCCCTGAGCTTGCTCCTCGTCGTTCTTTGAATCCTTTCCTCAAACACGCCTCTTTACTCATGTTCTCAACACTCTGTAACCCCTTGCGTGCTGGTGGCCCTCCCACCTTCCTTGCGGTGATTTGCATAAAAAAATGTAAAAGTTACAAAAGAGAACACAAAAATCAAAAGATCACTTAACAGTGTCTGTCTATATTTCTGAGATGAGGTATTATGTACATTATTTATATTATTCGGAATATTGTCCTCATCTTTCTCGCCATATTTATCACAACGTTTCGGCCTTTGTACGCTCCGGCCTTCTTCAGGTGGTTGGAATTTCGAACTGAACCCTTTCTTTTGCTCACTGGGGTAGACTGTTCTAGTTCCACGTGCCATGTTTGATGGATTTCAGTTATCAGTTATCTCCTGCTAATTTCCCTCTCTTCGGGTTCTGTCGCTGGATCTAACCAACGCCTTTATCCACTGTGCCATGTGTCCTCGGGAGAAATTTTAAAATTGACCCAAGAATTAATCGTTTTGTAATTTAAATAACAGAAAATTATTATGCATGGTTAAAAAATAATTGGTACATGATTTTTTTCGATATTTTATTATGACAAAAGGAACAATTTTACGATTAAATTTTGCTCTCGTCAAAATATCCTCTTTTTGACCGGATTATTGCAGCACAAATCTTTGGTATTCATTGCAAAGTTTATGAAAGTATATGTTTGATAATTCATTCTGTTTTTTTTTGTTTTTTTTTTTTTTTTTTCAAAGACTAAGAGTTCATTTCACTTTTGTTTTTTCTCTCGTTTTTCATTTCATGCTAATATTTTTTTGAGTTGGCTTAACATTTCTGAACTGTAAGATATATATATATATATATATATATATATATATATATATATATATATATATATATAGTGCTGTTCGATGAAATGTACTAACGTGATTTATTTTCCTTAAAAAAATTTTTTCGCCCATTGTTTTTGGAGTCAAGCTAATTTTTAAACTTACTAACTCACCCTAAGGTATTCTATTGATAATTATAATTTTGGATATAAATGAGATTTTAAAACTCTGTGCAATATATATATATATATATATATATATATATATATATATATATATATATATATATATATATTTTATTTACCTATACGGGAAAGTGAAAACGCAAAAACATACTCCCTGCCCCCCCATATTAATTAATAAAACAGTAAACCAAGTGATACTACCATACCTGACCAGTAAATATACGATTGACTTCAAAGGGATGCTACCTATCACACAAACATTATACTGATTCTTGGAAACGTGTCGAGTTTGTCGAAAGTCCTTGAACACATCACAGAATAAATCTGAAGTTTATGTGATCACAAATTCATAATTAAGCCGTTTTACGAAATAAAAATCCCAAGAGTAAATGATAGCTGTTTTCTTTTAATGAAAACTTGAAAGATTTCGATTCAGACACAAGAATATAAACTGAAGTGGCAGATGTATACTGTAAAAAACAAAAAAAAAACTTGAAAGATCTCGATGCAGACGCACAAATATATGCTGAAGTTGGAGATCTCTCTAAGAACGTGAAAGATCACGATTCAGACGCACGAATATACTTTGGAACGACAAATATCTGTTGTAAAGATCGTGAAAAATCTCGATTCAGACACACAAATCTACGCTGGAGTTGTTAATGTGTACTGTAAAAATCTTTAAAGACATCGATGCAGACGCACAGATATATGCTGAAGTTGGAGATCTCTTCTTTAAGAACGTGAAATATCTCGATTCAGACACACGAATATACTTTGGAGTTACAAATATCTATTGTAAAGATCTTGAAAAATCTCGATTCAGACAAACGAATATACGCTAGAGTTGTAAATATGTATCTCATTAAAGACCTCGATACATCGCACGCTGAATCTGCAGATGGCTGGTCTAGAAAACTTGAAAGATCTAAACTCAGATACACAAATATACGCTGACGCAGCAAATGTCTACTCTAATAACGAACTTTTCCTTTGTCGAATGACTTTTATTAAATCATATTGTTATAATTATTCTATTGCGTTAGTTATTGTCACTAATCAATTACTGGGCTGAATAAGATCTATGGCAAGAACGACTCTTTATATGTCACATATCTTTTACTTCAGTATATTTTTATAATCTTTCATTTTGTATTATTAGTGACTAATTTCAATTCCTTATATGATACACGATAAGAACGAATCTCCAATCATTCACATACCATTTCACTACTAGCAGCATGGCCCGGCGTTGCCCGTGCTTGATTCAAAAATCGTACGACTCATACAGCAATCGCTATCACCTGAGTTAAAATATTTTTTGCCTTTCTTTGCTTTTAAACTAGTGTCCTTTGCCATGCTGATGTTGCTACATGCCTTACTTCTTGCCTATCTCACACTGCGAATTTTTTCTAAGCTCTAAACTAAACATTAAATCTGTAATGAAAAAAGAACTAAACAAAATGAACACAAAACGATCGCTTTAAAAAAGGACTCGTAACTGGAAAAACCGAATGAAAAAAGAATGTTAACAATAAATACTTTTTCACACCCAACTCAGTTCTGCGGAATCAGAATCAAGCGGATGAAGCAATTGGAGTAAAGTGCCTTGCAGATTTAAATTTTTCCCACTTCTGACGAATGCAGCTATCGATTGTTTTTGCATGCAAGCATGCTAGTTAACATTCGTGTCAGTCAGCTGTTGGCTCTCACGCTGGCCAATAGAATCTTCCTGCCTATTCGTGGCAGTCAGCTATAGGCTCTCACTCTGGCCAGTACAAAATGGCCGCAAACTACATGAAAACTGCTGTAGAAGCATGAAAAAATCGATTATTTTCACTACTGATGGGAGTTGGGAAATGCAAAGTCGGTCTTGGCCTTCTTGCGAATTTGGAGCATGTGCATGTAAATTTTGGTGCAAATCCGTCGAAAATTGCGGCCGTGCATTCGTTACACACACACACACACACACACACACACACACACACACACACACACACACACACACATACACACACACACACACATCCTGCCTTTTATAGATAGAGGTACTCTTATGAATGTCCTTTTATATTATTATTTCTTTGTTAATCTCTTATCGAGCCGAATAATATTTATGGTAAGAACATCAGTTTAATAAAGTAATATCAATCGTCAAAGACGAAGATTGGAGCAACAGATGTCTGAATATATGAGCACATCTTTTCAGATTTAACGGTCTGCACAATAAGTCCAGCAAAGAAATAAATTGCTTATTGGAGCCACTAACCACAGTTTCACCTACAGAACGTAGTAAAGAATAACCGAAAAAAGACTCATTATCAATGGTAAGAAAAACTAATACAGTAGAATCCCTCATATCCGGAATC